TTTTACGATATTGTTATTTGTGGACTATTAAATTGATAGTAAGACAAAGAGAAGTACAAAATCACTAATATATTATAATTATGATGATAAATTATTTTTATGGCAATGCTATTAAATCTTAAAAAAAATTATGTTTCTATTATTTTAACTAATTAAAGTCATTATTTATCAGGTCTCCGAACTCTGAACCCGGTTCGGGTTCAGAGATTTTTCACTGAACCCAAACCCATTTTAGGAGGGTTCAAATCTCTGATATAAAGGGTCATAACTTCAAGACCCACGTCCAGCCAAGTCTAGGATTTTGTACAAACATAAAGCAGTCTATACATCTACAGACATAAATTTATGAAAAAATATCTTATTTTTTCTATGGCTATTTCCTGTTTTGTACTTTCAGTTTTTGGTATTAATCGAGTTTCTATCACATTTATTTATGTGTCATATTAAACTATTATTAAGCTATAAAATAAAATTTAAATTATTACTCTAACTTAATTTATTCTTGAGATATTTGAAAATTAATGAGGGGCATTATCATTTCTCCGCTCTTTAAACGCATATATCTTAACGTGTAAATGGCGTAAGGAAGTAAAATTTCATTTTTTTAATAGTTATATATATATATACTACCATACCAATATACACAAAATTTAAAAAAATTCTGAGAGGGTCGGGTTGAAACCTTGGTTGATTTGATATGGAATTCACCATATATATTTTTTTAAATTTAGTAAAAACTTATGCAATATAGTTTTAAAAAAATGTAACTAAGTTTAAATATTTTAAAGATTTTTTGAAGAAGTTTGTTAAACAAAAGAATATAATCCGAATTTAAGTCAGAGCCTAGTAATTTTTAATTGAAAAATATATGAGATGTACTGAATATTAAATCTTTCTATATTTTTATCCTGTGATTTACTCTAGGATATTTATTTGTAAGCTTTGAGTCAATTCATTTTTTTCTTAAATTTTCTGGTATTTGTTTGAAACTAAGCCCAATCAAGTTTGAAAAATTTGTTAATGCTATGTTGATAGGGTATGCAATGATCCGGTCCCGTCCGCTCCGGTCTTTTTTTAAAATGAGATAGGACCCATGGACTCTTAAGTCAAGTGAGGCCAGACGGTGGGACCATCATTAATCTATAAAAGATTTATTCTGCATTAAATTTATTAAAAATGAAGAGTGTTAAATTACCAATATTTTAGTTATATCATTAAATCAACTTTATTATATTATATAATACAAAATACCCTAATAAATTAAATTACATGACGAAAGAATTGAATGAAACGGAAGATATAAAAATTAAACGATGAATGAGATATTATAAAGTGTTGGGCATTGTATAATCATGTTTTATGTGTTCATGCACATGTACATTAACTAAAAAGCAATTCATAGTAAACTTTTATCTTCTGTAATCGGTCTTCGGTCGGAACGGACCATCGGACAGTGTTGTCTGACCGGACCGCCCGTCGGACCCAAGAGTCAGATGAGACCGAAGTGGACTGGCCGTCGGTCTGAACGGGCCACTGCAAACAATATATGTTGATTTAATATTTCTTCTTCAACTCACTAATATTAATCATCTAAAAATTTATAATATATAAATATTATCATATTTTGGTCATCCCTTGTGTAAAATAAAACTTGTCATGAATCGGAAAGAAATAATCGTACAGATTTATTAATAAAAAATATAGTATTAAATTTAAATATTTTATATAATAAAAAACGTAAAGTATAATTGAATCAAAATGTATCCTTTAAATTTATCTATAAGGAGATGCATGGACAGCTAAAATGTATCTAGATAAGATAAAAGTAAATATCTAGATAACAACCCTGCATGATAGCATAGTAAGGGTTGACTATATATGAGTCATTCCATGTCAAATCGATCAAAAAAGCTTATTATGGGCCAACTTCCTTTAAAATTGTATTCCCGGGCTCAAAAGTGCGAATAAAATTATTAAATTGCTTAATCTCAAAAATCAATTAAAGTAAACATAAAATAACATTATTTTGTAGTAATGTTGTTAAAACGGATAGATTTGAGACGATTTTTTATAACGGCTAACTCAATATCTTAGTCAGAAAATGATTGCATAAGCATTCGCTAATAAATGTTCAAACGTTTGTGCCATCGATGACCAAAATCTTCGACTTGCATATTTTTTTTCTGGATAAAATATCGAGTTAGACGTTTTTAAAAATCGGCTCTAATCGAGTCGTTAACCACACTATTTTATAGGCAAAAAAATCTCTAAAGGTGTATTGAAAGGTGAAAAAATTGGCACTTGAGTCTTCCTTCCGGGTTACGTTTAAGGCTTTACATGTGTTTTTAAGCAATTAGGGGAGTTGTTTTCAAAAAAAATTTTTTGCCTTGACATCTTTTATATTTATATATGATTATTTAATGGTAAAAAGTTCCAAATATAGGGCAAATTTTTTTTTTCGAAAACAAACTCCCCTAATTGCTCAAAAGCACGCGTAAGTGGTAAACCGGAAATTGGCGATATCTTCCTTCTATAGACTTTTAGTTTTTTACTTATAAAATGTTGTATTTGTTTTATGTTTACCATATAAGCAATTTAAAAATTTTACAGATGCATCGCCATTTTCTCACCTTTGAGGGCCTCTATTGGGAACTATGTATGCTAGTGAGCTAAAATAAACGGCCTATTTCTTTTAATCTGATCTAAATATTCCACCAATTATTAACAATTTTAAAAGGGGTTGACCAAGTTATGATCGATTCGACACGGAATGTCCACATAGATAATCTTATTAAACAGAATCAAAAGAAAATATTTTTAACTATAAATAATACAGGAGTGAGTTTAAGATCCTGTTAAAAATTCAGTGGTCAAATCTCAATACTTTTGATTCACTATCTGGTATATCTCTAGTTCCTATATTTAGACAATAATCTAAATTACATGCTTGAAAAAATTTAAACAACCAAAATCAGAGTTGTTAAGGAGTGGAACTATAGGAGCGCCGCTACATTTTTTTAAAAACACATGGAGCGCCCCTCCTTTTTAAAAATGAGGAGCGCGAGTGGGAGCTAGCTCCTTTTAAGGCTGGAGTGGAGGAACGCTCGATAATAATGGAATTTTATTTTATTTAAATTTATCCATTATTAAATGTTGAGCCGAGTTTTATATTGGTTTTTCTTCTAATCTTTTAAATATTAAACAACAAGTTTTTCATTTTTATATTGAAAATTCTGTGGAAAATCTTGTAAATCATATTAATATTCATTTTATAGATATATAATAAAAAATAGTTTTCGATATTATGGATTTAGAGATCATAGAATAAGAAATCGAATTTTCATTTGCATTATAAAATAAACTTCTAAAGATGTTGATCCAAATGATCAAACAAATTTAAGGGCAAAATGCATTTTGTGTTTAAGAAAGTATTTTATTTTCAAAAGTGAGTAGCTCCAAAAAAGCATATAAAAGTAAAAAATCTTTCTTTACAAAATGATAACTATATTTTTTTTATTTTATAATTATTTTTGGGCAATTCATTATAGTTGAGCTTGGGTTGTTAGATATGATGCTTTTTTAAATAATATTTTAATATTTATTTTAATTTTCTCATTACTTGTTCAACCTCCTTTTTTATACCTGAATTAAAAAATATCTTAATAAAATACATTACCCCGCTCTCCTCTAGTGCTCCTATGGAGCGCTTATTTAGTATTGCAAAACAGGTATTAGGGGAGAGGCGTGGATGTTTGTTAGATTCTAATTTAGAAAATTTATTACTTTTAAAGGCAAATAAAAGGTTATAAATATTTTGATAGATCATTTAATATAAATAAAACTTTTTGATAAAAAAATATGATTTTGTTTTATGTACCTTCTAAAAAAATGAAAATCAAAAAAGAGGTTAAAGAGTGGCACTCCATTAGAGCGGGAGCTAGCTCCTTTTAAAAATGTTAGTGGGAGAGGGAGCTAGCTCCTTTTGAGTGGGAGCTTGCTACTTTTAAAAAGGAGCGTTAACAACTCTGACCAAAATACATTTTATGATTATGTATTTTCGATAATTAAATATTTGTTTCTTAAAATGTTGTTTATAAATATATATTTATGTATATTAATATTAAATTTATTATTTATTTCAAATAATTTAAATAAAATAACAGATAATTTCTATTTGGCAAATAGAATTTGCAAGATTCAATTCCTGTGAAATTAAATCACAGATTATATAATATGAATATAAAAACTTATATAGAATTTATACTAAGACTACAAAGAAATTACTTTAAATATTGTATGTAGTTGATTTACAAAATTAGAAAGTTTTATAAGTTGCCTTGAGTAATGTAAGAAAATCTTATACTTGAATAAAAATATGTAATCACTAATTATAATCAATTCATTGTAATAAGGTTAATTAAAAATTTGTAAATTAATATAAATTTTAAATATCCAGAGCTAACTTAATTTGTTTATAAAGAGATATAATTTTTGGTTATATGATCAGTTAAACAATGGTAATATTAAAAATAAAATATATCATTAAAAACTATAAAAATATAACTATTACAAGTAGATCCCTGCAAATTCAATTTTTTTGTTTTATTTTTGTAAAAAGTTTATGCTTAAGCCCAAATAGTTATAGAAATATAAATTAAGTACATTTTTATAAAGTTACATAAAAAATAATCAGAATTGCTTTACCAGAAAAAATCTATTTCAGTGAAAAGAAAAAATTATTTATATTTTATTAGGTGCAAGCTTAACTTGATTTTATTTTTAAAGTAGGCCCAGCTCTACCTATTTTTTAAAAAAAAAATATGGCCTGTACTTTTTGAGCTGACCATTAAATTAATAGTTTAAATATAATATTTTTTCTCTTTTGATTTCAGTAATTATGACAAAGTTAAAATAATTAAGATAAGGATTATTAAATTAACTAATATGTTTTTTTTGATGTGGATAATAAAGTAAAAATAATAATCAATAAAATTATAAACTCAAAACGTCCAATGTTCTTGCTCATTTCAGCAAATATTTGCTGATTATTTGGATCTATAATCATTAGATGTATGTCACCATTTCCATCAATAACCTAGTAGAACTATAGATAAAAATAATTAATTATAAATACTTGATAATCCACTTCGAATCTTTGACCAGGTTTCATCATAACATGATAGCATGAAATTCTACCACCATCTATTATTTCTGTTAATTCTAAAGATATTGCATTTTTAATAACACAGAACAAAATAGTCAGATAACGTATGACTTTTTTAAAACTACACATGTGTATAGGAAATTTAAGGTATAGTACCGCTTGTACTTGTTTTAAATTATAATTAGGTATTTTGTCGGTTAACTTATTATGGTATATTCAATGCAATGACATAATTCATTCATTAAAAGTGTATATCAATGCAAATCAGCTGGAGACGCCATCTTGGTTACACAAATCATTATTAAAATTTTAAACGAGAGCCTAATTTAATCCTATATCTGACGCAAACTTTATTAAAGAATTACCGGATCATCGAGATAATAAGGAAGCAAGTTATCAATTAAATAGTAGTTTTTAACATGGTATTAATTACTATATGTGTTACCAAAATATCGGATCCAGCTGATTTGCTTTTAGTATTATATATGTCATTGATTCAATGATATATATATCATTGGGTATATTATAAGCAATGACAAGTGTTGTTAAAAAGCCCGATTTGGGTCTATTTTTCAAAACGGCTCGATTAAGATTTTAGCTAAAATAATATTATATAAGCAATGGCGTCACTAGGAAGAGGGGCTCAGCCCCCTGAAGAAAAATTTTTTTTAATAGCTCCTTAATATCCTCTTGAACTAAAAATAAATATTTTTGATTGCCCACTGAATGATTTCTTTTATAATTCTATTGAGTAATGTAATATATAGATTTAATTTTATAATTTAAAAATTAAGTCTATCTAAAGCTTTCTAATATAAATGATTGTTACGAGATTATTTATTTTATTTTAAATTAATAATTTATTTTATTTAATTTATTTTGAAATTTTACATCATTTTATCAAACTAAAAAATCAGGCTTATATAACAATTTTCATATTAATATATAAAAAAATATCAACCTACACAATTTATAAAAAAATCAATTTATATCAACATAAAAAAAAAAATTTTTAGGGTTAGTATTAATCGGTCATATTAACATTCCACCCTTTAAAAAAATGATCTCCACTCAGGTTTTTCTTGCATGTGAATCTTATCGAGCAGTCTGTCATAGTTTCGTCTTGGAAAATGATATTTATTTTGGTTGTGCATATGATTGTTCAAGTCGTTCATAAGTCATTGTAGTCGTTTTGATTCTATCACGTTGGTTTGTTAATATCGTTCTGAGTACGCTGGCTCGTCGAGCTCCGTCATTATCATTGTCAATTTTACAAAATTATTATCATCACCAATTGTAAAATTATCATTATTAAATAGGATTTCGGAATATATGAATAATTAGAGAATCGATCAAATTTGGATGTTAGAATAATATAAGGATGGTAAATCAACAAGATTGTTAGATAATATTTTTAGCGTTTTTTTTTATTTTTTATATATATTTTTTAATAAAAGATGATAAGATGATATGTACGTCTGTACATCCATCTCTCTCTTCAGAAATTTAAACTTTATGCCCTTATTTTTTAATTTAAAAAGTATTTTGAAATAATAATTATTCATAAGATTGTTTTTAGTAAAAAATAATTTTTTGAGCCTTAAATTTTTAGAAAAAGATCTCTACATCACATCCTTGAGTATTATTTTAGAATGAAGACGTTTAGTTTTTATATGACTTCTCTTAGTGATACTTTTAATTGTCTTCAAATTTATAAGTTTCAATTTTTTTTATCGCATTTAGTAAGAGTTTTTTTATTTCATTATTTTCTTTAATGATTATTTCCGTATTTTCTTTAAAGTTTATTTCCTTATTTTATTTAAAGTTTATTTCCTTATTTTCTATAATCACAAATGTTTCAAATTTTATTATATAATTTATTTCTTTTAGTTTATAAGAATCTCTTTCCTTTTGAATATTGGGTTTTAATTCAATATTTTTCAATTTTTTAAAGATTTACAATTATAATGATAATTTCTTATATAATAATGTGTTTCTTTATCTAATTTTCTATTTTTATAATAATTCTCATTGTTAGATTTATTAAAATTTTTATTAGAACAATTTTCTTTTATTTCTGTAGCCGATTTATAATTACATAAACACTAATGTATACTAGTAGAAAGCCCGTCAAAAATGACGGGGAATGAGATTTTTATTCATTCTTTTACGATAGTCATGCCAGGTCCAAGCTCACAATATTAGGAAGCATCCAAGATCTTTTAATTATAAAAATGTTTATCAATCCCAGCTCAACCCTTAATCATTTGTAAAAGATATTCCCAAGTCAGGTGCAAGCTAATATTATTTTTGAGGTTCCAAGCCCAATCGTATCCAATATAATTTTGAAAATTTTTTCCCACCTCGGAGATAGTTACATTTTTAATTGATTTATCATCACATGAAGGGGAAATTACTGATTTACCAATTAGTCTAAGATGTAAAATAAACGATGTGAATTCCGTATTAAGGGAAACTAGGAAGGCCTGGGCAAACCACTTATTAGAGAATCAAATAAAATAAAAATAACCGACTCTTATACTTTTTGGTAATATGATCAATTAAAATTATATCTAAAAAATAAATTGTTGTTTATTATATTGGGTTTTTGTTGTTTTTCAGATAAATTTAATATATGTTTTGCATTTGCGAAATTATTTGTCAAAGAATTTGATAAAGGATATATATTTTTATGTTAAGTAAAAAAAAATGCTATCTATTTAAATTACAAAAATGCCATTAAACACTAATGAAACTTATATGCAAATTATTTATATATTTTTTAAGAATTGTCATATAAATTTAGGCTAATTTTTTTAAAAAATAATGAGGAATAATTATTATTTTGTGTATTTGATAAAATTAAGAGAAAATTCAAGGCGCGTAGACAGGAATTTGGTCTGGGGGGGGGGGGGGGATAATAAATTTTTTTAAGAAATATTATTGTTTTTTTTAAAATATCAAGCATGAATTTATTAGGACTAATAACTATTCCTAATACACAATTTCAAATTAATGTGAATTAAGAAAAAATTATATGTAAAGAATCACTTAAATGACTCAAAATAGAAATTTGAATTTTTTGAGCCTTTACACAAAAGGTTTCTTAGGAATAATTGTATTTTGTATGTTATATATTAATGTAAAATCCTTCATTGGGATTGAGCTAATTTTTCAATTATCTCATCCTTGCTTGTCGTCAAATGCCTATGAATATAAAGATCCAAACCTTTCAATCTACTTTCACATGTTGTACTTTTTGGTATGTTTTTCAGAGACCTGCAGGCCCGGCCCCTAGGCCAGACAGTATTTTGATTTTTTTTAATATACCGAGTTAACTCCTAGTTATATATGCAAAAAAAACATGTGAATTCGTAATAAGGAAAACTGAGAAAGCCTGGGCAAACCACTTATTAGAGAATCATGACAAAATAAGGTCTGCCCTAATATTATTATAAGAAATAAAAAATATTACCTTGTATTATTGGAGATAACTCCAAAAATAAAGTTATGGAGAAAAAATATCTGACGTACAAGTTAAATTGAATTTCTATATAAAATATTAATAATTTGTAAATTTTGTAAATAACGTTTACTTTGACAGGCCTCCTACAGTTGCATAGAAAACTTAAGTTATAGGATCATCTGTTTGTATAAAATTTATAAATAAAATCAACAAATAAAAAAAATAAAAATAAAAAAAATAAAAATAAATACGTACCGATGACATGACGTAGCGATGACATGACGTCACGATGACGTAGTGAGGACATCGGAAAATTATAATATAGATAATGTTTTATCATAACTTGAATTTAACTCTCTTAGAAACACTGCTTACATGACTAAATATAATTCATCTGGTAAATTACCTATTAAGCTGAGTATTCTTATTATCATGAAATTTTAAATAATCTTTAACTTGTCAATGGACTTTGTTTTATTATTATTGTCCCATATAGGTTTATTCATAATTTAGAGATTCATCATTAAATTTTTTTAATTATTCTTCATTTTTTTAAATAAATCATTTCTTACGTGTTTTTAGAATGATATAAATATTACATTCCAGAACTTTTTTTTATCTAGTTGTCTATGTTCTAGTAGCTAAAATCATATTGTCTGTGGGTTTTAGAATATTTTGTAAGTCATTATAGCCCAAATTTATTTAGTTCGTTTAATTTGATATATACCTCATTTGGTAGTTTTCTCGTAAAGGAACCTGCTTTTTCAATGTCCGAGATCTGAGTGTCCTTGAAGATGTCTTCGAATCTACTCAAAAAAAGATCGCCATTGCCTGAGTATATTGGAAATTCAATATTTATATTAACATATTATTGGGAATCTGTTTAATATTTATTTATTTATTTATGATTTCCTCGAATATGTAGCGGAACTGCCACCATAAAGTTTTCTAGAAATAAATGATTGTTGCGAGATTATTTATTTTATTTTAAATAATTTTATTTAATTAATTTTGAAATTTTACATCATTTTATCAAACTAAAAAATCAGGCTTATATAACAATTTTCATATTAATATATAAAAAAAATCAATCTACACAATTTATAAAAAAATCAATTTATATCAACATAAAAAAACAATTTAAAGGTTAGTATTAATCGGTCATATCAACACTATCTAAATTATTCTTAAATGAATATTATTTTATTTTTTCGATTATCAGCTTGCAGTCAAATTCTGTGTTAAAAATAGAATAATAATAAATGATTACCATGCTTTTATATTAATTTATATACAAGTAATTTGTTATATTTTATATAAACTAATAAAAATATATTTCATATTTGTTGCAGGCTTTTTTTATTAAAATTAACCTCCTATCTTGTAAAAATATTTTATGACTATATATAGACTAAAGTAACCCGGCCGAAGGCCGGGCAAAAGCGGGCCGAAGAACCGCCCAAAGTGGGGTCTGGAAGCGAAGCTTCCAGTAATTTTTTAACCCCCCCCCCTCCAGGAAAATCCTGGCTACACCTATGTGAAATTACTTATTAATTATAATGAATTAAATACGGAAAATAAAATATTTTTAATTCGTTACATCTTATACTTATTGGGCTTTATTATACCCTTTATCAATCATATCATTTTATTTTGCTTTATTGTGGTCTTTATCAAAAGTATTCGATTTAAATGGATGTTTATAATAATTATTATTATCATTTTATTTATTATTGTTATTTACCTTATTGACAACGGACATATTTTTATACGCCATTTATTTACCTGCATGTTCAGACATAAGCAATCCCTAGATCAAAAATAAATGGGAAAGTCAATGCATTATTATCCCTATCTAGACGTCATAATTTAGAGCAAAAAAATCCCTTTGCCAGCTATAAATTGATGACATAAACGCTCCTAAATATTTTTAAGATATTGACAACTTTTATATATCAATAAAGGTGGTGTTGTATGGACAAGAAAAAATGTTTTATTTATTATAAATTTATCTAAAACTAAAAATGATACTCAAAATAAATATAAAATAAGGTATATATATATATATATATATGTATTATAAAAAAACAATAACGAAATACATGGTTAAAGGCTAACATGTTTAAAATAAAAGCAATTTAAGTTAAACAAATTTAAAAAGTCAATCTCCATTAACAACAACGCTTGTCAATTGTTATAATTTTATATTTAGTTATAGTTCCGTTGTTCTTCAAATTCTAATAAGGTCAAATCTAGACCCAAAAGTTCTCAAAGTGGTTTAAATATTTATTAACACATTGACTTGGTTTTCTTAATAGATAACGTTATAATAGAATTTGGATAACATCCACGATCAACTAATTCATTTCTATTGCCAAAAGAATTTATAAAGATATCTCTTTATTGAAATTGAGTTGAAGATAGATATTTTAGAAAACTGACTTCCCGAGTAGAAATATAATAATATATTGAACTCTCTCCATCAAGTTTATCAAATTTAACAGTGGGTAAGTCAATCAGTTTTCTTTTATTCGCTAAATCACCATTATTTAAGGGCTAGATTTAAGGTTATATCACCAACATTTGAGGCCATTTAGATTAAAATATCCGTGTAATTTTATTTTATTAACTTTCGTTGCCATTAGATAACTATAAAAACCACGACAGACTAACGTATTAGTATACATATTATTATATTATATTTATTCTTCTTAATATATTCAAAAATCTAGATATGATAATTTTAAGTTATCATGATTGGCAATAAACATTTAAAATGATATTTTTTTTATAAATATATACAAATTACAAAATATATATTATTGTGTAATGGTACTTATTTTTAGTTAATTTAGCGATGAAAATCCAATATTTTCTAATCTTAAATGCTGATTAATTTATATTAAAAATTAAAATTTGGTTTCTATAGCAAAAACGTTGTCAAAAACCAAAAACATATGTTTACGATTATTCAAATTCAAATCGATGTTATGATTGAATGGTTAATAATAAATGCTTGTTTTTTAAACTATTTATTGTTTATATATTAATGCTACAAGTCAAATCACAAAGTTGTAAAGTTAAAAATCTATTATAATAATTTAATATAGATGTTGATTTTTGGGCTGGTTCAGGAAGTGGAATTCCACCTAACTGTAAATATAATTTGATAATTTAAATAATTCTTATTATAGTGACAAATCAATCCTATTCGACCTCTCAAAATTTTTTAAATATAACCTTCAGAAAATACCAAAGAAGAAAATATCTAAATGAAGGTTAAGTTTTGCTAACATTAAAAATTTTAATAAATATTATTAACAATATCTATAGTAAAATTTGATATTTTTTTTATTAACCAGCATTATATGTACCCAAAATATCCAAATATAAAACATATAACACTGGCTTATCTTATCAACCACATAATGCTTACTTTTTATCTCCTGCAAGTATAATAAATTTTTTATTTATTTTTAATTCTCATTAAACAATATTAATAGACAGGGGTGTTTTGGTTAGGTTGCTATAACCATTCCTATGGAAATTTTATACCAGGGTTTTTGACCCAACCTGGGCCAAAATAATTTTTATGAAAGATGACCTAAATTTGCCTAATTATTAACTTTGAAAACTTTTTTAAAACTTAAACCCAGCTAGTATAAATTTTTGAACAATCTGTTTAGCCTTGGATTAGTCTGTGCTAATGCTAGTACTGAGTAGTATTGGTAAATAACTTGATTAGAGTTGATTTTTAAAAATAACGAACTCAATATTTTAGCTATAAAAATTTAGGTAAAATTTTTTTATATTGATTTTTTTAAAAATTAGAACAAATGGATGTTGCATCACTAGCTGGCAAACCCATGTCGATTCTTGATAGGATATATAGTGTATTGAAGAATTTTTTTTCCACAATTTTAAAATAATTGCATTGATATTCTCTTAACCTGTGAGAATTTTTCAAATAGAGATGTAATAGGAATTGGTGGTTCCTCCATTTTATCTGATTTTAATTTTTTCTCCTAAAAGTAAAATTTCAAACTCATCAATGGTTTTATCATTATTATCAATAAAACCAGTAGATTCAGTAGCAGCCTTCAATATGTTCTAAATAATGGAGTATTGCTTATGCCATAATTCTTTAAGTTGGTCTTAGCTATCTCTTTTTGCTCTACTCAATAGAACTTAATATGGGTCTATATATTTAAGCATTTACTACACTGTTTTGCTAATAATTTATCTCTCAAATTTTCATATTTTTTATTAATTCATATGAAAAAGAACTAATTAATTTTTCTAAATCTAATCAAGAATTAACACCCATATGCCATAAAAATTAGATAGACACCTATTTTTCAGTTAAAGCCCTAAACAGATTGGTCCAAAGTCCAATCAAACTTAGACATTTTCTCAGACTTGGTCAGATTCAGAGTTAGATTTTAAAATGTGTTTGGATCTCAAATTTTAGTTATATTTTTTTCCTAATGTTTTTTTGAATATTATTTTTGTCACAGTTGGGCAAATTTGGTTTGGGAGATTTGAAACCTAAATATAATTAAATACTAAAATTATAGTTTTGAACTTTATTAAATATTAATAATTAATTATAAGTTATATAAATTAATATAAAGGGAAAAATAAAATTAATTTAAGAAAAAGTAAAAAATTAAAAATTATATGTGAAAAAATTAAGTAAAAGTAAAAAAAAAATTAAAGTCCATCAGATTATAAAAATTGTGTTTGTATAAAATTAACATCATCCGATTATAACATAATAAATGTCGTCTGATTATAAATAACTTTAAATCATTATTCAAAAATTTATATAAACCAGAAGATTTTTATAATAAACCAAATATATTTTCTTTCTATAATATAATACTCGTATTATTAACAATATACATATTCAAATTTTATATGAACTCTAAATATTCAATTTTATATATATAAAAAAAAACTATTTTCCATAAATATTCAAATTTATATACACAAGATTTTAAATAAGTGCAAATCAAAATAATGCAATCACAACAATTTTCATAATTAATTGTTTATTATCCTTTAGCACTTAAAAGTTTTATGATTTAATTGAATCATACTCTTTCAATAGGTCAATAATGAATTGGACTAGGTTGAATTTCTAAAATAAAATGTTGGATTGGAATTTGATCCTTGAATTTTTTTATCAATATTTAATGTTGGACAAACATTAATTTTTTTTTCTTGGATCAGATCAGACCTCAAAATAAGTTAAATTTTTAAATAATTTAACATACTTTGCTATAATTTTTATTTCTTTTTAAATTTGCCTTCTAAAGTCAAAATTGGAAATAGACCAAACTCATTATCTTTATATATTTTCATAATTTAAAATGACTCTTTATTAGATATATAGTAGCACTTACATTAAGCTAATAGTCGAGAAAGGTTTATTTTTGGAGAAAAACGAGTAGACACCAATGTTGAAAACTTATTTTTAGAGTCCAATAATAATTTATTTAACCCCAAATTTTTATGAAAAGTAAATATGTATATTTTTTCAGAGTTTGGAACTCCGATTACAAATGGTTATCGCTCCGGTTAATATTTTAAAAAAGTGGGCCAGTTGGTTCCTATAATTAATTTTGAAAAGTGAGCTCTGGCCTCCGGTTCTTAAATTTGACCAATTTCCAAGGGTTTAAAGCTAACTCTGTTAAAGCAATCATGTAGAATTTAAACAATAAATGAACTCTAGGATATAGAATTTGTTGAGATTCCGAATCCCAACTTGGAGGATCGAGATATAGAATCAAAACGTTTTATTTGGAATCTTCTTAAACGTTTATTTATAAATATACACTGTTATTAATTATTTATCTCCAACCCATTGTTAGTCAGATCATTGATGGGGCTAGTTGAATCAAGTGATTTATTAGGCTTCCTATGAGACACAAAAAAATTATCTTCTCATATATGCTTTATTTATATAATATTCTATTTACAATTATAACAAATAAAATAGCTTTTTGGCATGGGACTCATGTGCCCAATCTTTATATACTCTGCATTGAAACCAATCTTCAAAATTATGAAAATTTTATAGTCCTGTTTACATATAATACGTACATCTTTATTATTATTTTAACATTGTTTTTTATTTATTCTACTGTTTTATTAGAAGCTGCTTCTTGAATAGAGATGAGGTAAAATCTCAGCATTAATTTTTTAACACCTTTTTAACAGATAAACCATAAAAAGTTTTACTTCATGAATTTAGATATTAAACCATTTTATTTCCTCTTCTTAAATATTTTTTGTTTATTATCAGCTATTTAATATTTTTTATAATGTCTTAAAAATTTGTAGTAGTTATACCTAATAAAATAATAATAAATTTACTCAAAATTTATCTAATTCTATATTTAAATATATAACATTAATTGGATCTTATTATCACTATCAGGCCAAAATAATTATCCTGATATGATAACTAAAATGTTTTTATTTATTTAAATGTAATATTTGAATCATATTATATTGTCAATTACAATAGATATATAGGTTATGACTAAATACTGCATTGCTAAAATGAATTTCTAAGAAGCAATTAATCATAATGAATCAAAATTTTATTATATAATCTTTTTTTAAAAATAATTTTCAGAAATTTTTCTAATATACATAAATAAATTTTTTATTAAATAAAAAATTGAGATTAAATATAAATAATTCATTTCTATTTTTACTTAATATTAATGGTAAAAAAATATATTTACTTAAATTTTATTTTTAGATTTTAAAATTTAACAAATTTAATTGCATAAATATGAAAATATCATCTTAGGAAACCAAAATGATTTTTGATTAGCACTTTTTTTATGGGTGTAAATACATGTGGAAAACCTAAAATTTAAAAAAAAGATAGGTTTCTTTGCTATTTAATTTATGAGTAGGTTTAGAATCGTAAAATATAGAAAACTTGCAAGGGTCATATTGCTGGCGTTGATCAAAATTTCTTTATTTTTATTTGATACGTGTATATATATTTACGTTTTAAGTAATATTCCAAAAAATATTCTAAAAATATTTTGATTTGACCAAATTCAGAGCTCTAAACCGAGCACTTCTAAATATTCGATTGATCAAATTTGCTAGTAATATCAATTGAAAAATGTTCATTTTTGTTTTGTATATCTATAGATACATGTATATCCCAAAAAATATTTAAAATATATCGGGATTTGACCGATAACCGATTTGAAACCCATCCAATTACTAAATACTGCATGGCTGACGTTATGCATGGAAAATTCTTTTTTATGGATTATACGTGTACATTTAACGTGTTAAACATTATCCTAAAAAATATTATGATATTACCCGACTCATAACCAACTGGTTAACAGTCAAACAATGATATTTTTTTAAAATTATTTTGGAATAATGTATAATTATAGATATATAAAACAAAAATGATCATTTTTCAATTCTTACTACTAGTAATTTTAGTCAATCGAATATTCAATAAGTAGTCGGTTTTGAGTTCGGCAATCGGTCAATTCATAATATTAAAATATATTTTAGAATAATGTTTAATCCATAAATGTACACGTATGAACCAAAAATTAAGAATTTTCCATGGATAACGCCAACAATTCAGTATTTATTCATTAGATCGGTTTCAAATCGGTTATCGATCAACAAATCACGATATTTAAAATATTTTTTGGGAAAATGTTTTACACTTATTTATAGATTTATAAAACAAAAAGGAACATTTTTCAATTGATATTACTAGCAAATTTTGTCGATCGAATATTTAATAAGTGGTCGGTTTTGAGCTCGGCAATCGGTCAAATCACAATATTTTTAGAATAATTTTTGAAATAATATTTAACACTTAGATATACGCGTATAAATAAAAATGAAGAGATTTTGATTAATAACGCCAGTAATATGTGCCTTACAAGGTTTCTATTATTTTTTATTCTAAACCTACTCATAAATTAAATATCAAAGAAACCTATCATTTTTTTTTAATTTTTAGGTTTTCCCCATATATTTACACACAAATATAAAAACGCACTAACTAATAATCATTCTGGTTTCCTCAGATTTTTATCCTTTTTTTAAATTTTATAATCATGATTACGAAATTTAGACCAAAATTGATTATAATTTTAGTAAGGTATCTAATTATAAAATTCGGCTAAAAATTTGTAATTATTTTTTCTGAGCTAATCAGAAGTGTTTGTACACCAAACATTTTCATGAAATATTTTTTCATAATGTGGCAATTTTATGCCGAATAGGGAATATAAATGAATGACAAAAAATAGTATAAAAAGGGTTTAAAGAGCCGTATTTTGTGGGATGTGGGGGAAGCTGTCATATATTAAATGGTTTTAAATGGCTAATTTATGTCATTGGCTCATTTTTTATTTAAAATGTACTTTTATCATTGCATCATTTATATTGCATATTTATAAATTGCAAAATTTCATGAGGAGGATTCCCCACCATCGTTATAGCTACAGCACTGCTGGAAAAATTTAATTAATTTCGGTAAAAGTTAAAACAATAACGAAAGTTTATTATATCTATGTTTTATAACTTTTTCCCAATTTTGTTAATATAAATAGTTATGGATGAATGGTTTGATCCAATTGTGTTCAATGGCCCTCAATTGCCTCATTTACTCGAAACAAATATTAAGCCAGGTATTATTTTTTTAAGACATGCTTATTACTATAATAGCCTATTAATGTCAGAATTTTTATTAGATACAACAAATATATAAATAATTACTAAAATAAAAAGAAAACTGTTGTCTCTCCTAATTATTATAGAATTCTTATTGAATTCTTTTTAAAAAACATTTATAATTGGTAAATAATAATACCTAGATGATTTCTTAATTTGATTGTTATATATTTTTCTTAAATTTAATAATAGTGAAGATTAACCAGACCGAAATCAAAGCTGGGACCAAACCGGAAATCGATACCAAGTAAAAGACGAATCCGAAGCCCGGTATCAAACCGTCCCAACCGATTTTTAAAGCACTGCGAAACTTCCATAATGCTATTTAATGACGATTACTTTTTGATAAATATATAGCATTCAGTAAGTGTTTTAGATAGAAAAGAGACCGGCCTTAAGGTGGTCAAATAAATGTCTGATTTACAAGTACCCACCGACATGCGAAGACTGAACTAAAGACCCTTTTTTTAAATAAATTCGGCTTTGCGGTTCGGGCATGATTTTTGATCTTTACTATTATATATTTTTTTAAGAAATTATATTTCCCTCTTTTAAAAGATTTCGAAAATGAAAAAACTCACTTTACCGAGGCAATTATTATATTATAAATATACCTTTATTAACATTTATATTTTCTTATGATAAACAATTTTAAAGTAACTTTACCTTAACTAAAATAGTTTGTGAAGGAATACATTATTCCTTTGAAAAGTTAAGAATGTTTAAATTTTGGTTATTCCTGGGTAAGGTTCTTATGTCATATTCTACGCTATCCTTTCTTTTCATACATTTTGGATAACGTTACCCATTCACTTATATTTATTTGTATACAAGAATTCCAACTCTTGTGTTAATCGGAAATTTTTAATTGGTTATTTTTATAATATTTAACACCTTACCAATGTTAATTGCCTTATTTGATTATGCTATACAGCGGATTTCTTTCATGACTATTTTTCTGCTGAATTGCTAATATAATACAAATCGGGTTGACTATTTTTTTAAAAATATTTTTCAATGGTTTCTTGATGAAGAAGAGTTATTGCATTCGATGATATTATCAATGAAATTGCGAAAGTCATTTTGTATGTTGTATTTTAAGGTTATAGATAAACCTAGAATTCCTTTTCAGCAATCTCCATTTAATTTTTTTTTTGTTTTAATTATAATAATAATTCGCGCGGGATGCCAATTCTTAATTTTGATTAAAAAATCATAGAATTTCTATACTATAGCTAAAATTTAAAACCTCAACTAATCTGAATATGTTTTTCAAAAATCGGTTAGGATCGTTTGCTGAACATTTTAATGAATATTACTCGCTTTTAATATTTCTCGGTTGACTAGAAATTTTTTGAAAGTGGGAAGCGTTTTAATCATAAAACATAGGAAGCCTCTAAAAATCATAATACACATATATATATATTTAATGTTAGGCATTTTATAAACATATGCTAAATATTATCCATAATATCATTTTAAGCTCTGGCATCATTTTCAACGAGACCATCCTTCGACAATCCCTTACCTTGTAAGATGATAGATACATTCAATTTATAATTTCTAGAACTCTTTTTAAGATACAATAATTTTTAATGATCAGTAATAATGGTTCACTCTTGACCATTTTAAAATTATGTTTTAATGCAATCTAGCAATGTTGGGGAAAATTGGTATTTATTTTTACAGGTTAGGCTATAAGAGAAAGTTTATAACTTAGAGTTTTACTTTTTTGAAAACCATTTTGACTTATTTTAAAAATTATATTATTAAACACACAGTTTACTTGAATTACCGAAACAACCACATATTGTTTTACCCTCTCTATCAAGTCGGAGACGTAACCTATCTATCGTCTCAACCTACCTTAATCAGAAAAGATGAATTTTTTAAAAATTTTGACGTCATAACACGAGTTAGATATTTTGATACTCCGGATATTTCGATTTCAGTGCAAGAATTCAGTGGCAGTGGAAATATATGATTAAATAACATTTTATATACAAAATTATTTATTTATTTATCTATCTATTTATATTTATTGTATACCTGTTTAAATAAAGTGTATACCATTAAAATATAACGTTATAAAAACTATTTAGAATGTTAATTATAAAATTAACATGTATTTGCCAAGGAGATATTTTTAAAAAAATTTTTAAGTTAATTTTTTTATCGGTAGAGAAATAGCCCCTAGAAATAATTATATATATTAAATCTCGTAAGTGATCTTTTTAAAATTATGTGACAAATAACCTTTTTTAATAATTTGATAGAAAGTATGTTTTTAATAACTATTGTTGTGTATGCCTAATAATTATTTTTCATCAAATATATTTTATTCTTGAAAAAGAGACAATTTTGGCGGTAGTCCTATGTACCTCAATTTGATGAGGACGATTTTTAAAAATGAAAAATCTGATTTGATTTTCCAACATGTGCAGAGAACCTACTACCTACCCTATTATTTCTTTCGGCAGAAATTTTGTCTATTTTTTAATTTATATGAATAATCGATGTAAAAATTTATATAAATTAATAGTAGTTGAATTCACTGCAAAATTAAATTCACAGAGTGATTATTCTACCTCTATTTGAATTAGGCCTACAAAAAAGCGAATGGGATCGAATAATACTAATATTCATATTCAATTCAAATTTTCGAATCGAATAATTATGCTATATTCGAAATTTTTTCTAAAGTTTATAAAAAATAATGTGGATATTTTAAACTGACACCTCTAAGAATTCTAGTAAAACTAAACTAATTCTCATTAGCATATCAAAATTTTCAGAAAATAACAAGCGAAATAAAACCCAATGATTTCATAACCTTATCCCAAAAAAATATACATAATAATATTAATATTTTAAAAGATTAATTTAATTTATATACAATAATTTAATGTTTTACTTTGCGATGTTTCATTCTATTAAACACCTTTATATAATAAAACTTGTTATACTTTAGTGTGATTTTTAATATTATGTTGTAATGTGAAATCAAAAAATATAACTTAGGAAGATATAGAAATAAAAAAAATAAAATTATTTAAATTTAAAAAAAATTTCAAGTAGAAAAATTTATTTATATTTTTACTTATTAACGAAAAAATAAAATATTTCATAAAAATTACGAATATAAAAGAATATTTACAAATGATGCTAATATAATATTGATTACAAATAATTCAAATCGAATAATAAAAATTATCACTTTTCAAACTGTTTTAAATTAATAGATTCCGATTTCTATATACTGTAGTAATATACTAATTTATATGTTAATGGTCTTTTATTTATAATATTATATATATTTTTCTTTGTGGACATTGCTTGCTGCGATAAGTTAATATAATGGAAAATTTATATATTTAATTTTTTATTTGTTAAATATTTAAAAACAATATACATTATTTTACATCAACTTCGTTTTTTTATGCTTTAAAATTATATTATTGGAATTTTACTGTTTGCTTTATAATCCTAATTTTGAGCTCTGAGCTAATCCCTACATATATGAAATATATAAACGTTATCAGTTATCGCCTGTAATGACTGGTTAATGTCCTAGTATATTTGCTTAAACTGTATAAAAATTTTAATTGACTTATGGTATGTCAAAATTTTATTTTAATTAGAAATGCATCATGGACGAATGTAACATCCTCACAATAAAAATCTGCCAAATATTTAATTTTTTCTCTATCAAGATTTGAAATAGATTCGGAAGGATTCTTCGGGGATAACATTTGCAGATTTGTAAGTGCTGCCTGATTAATCAATAATGAGTTATAAAAGCATCCAAGTGTGAGGGGATTTATTTTTTAATTTTCGACTGGTCCTATATTAAATTGGAACAACGGGACCGTGTTGGGAGTCGAGGTAGACAAATATTAAATTCTTAGAGTTCTGATTTTGACTCAACAATGACATAATTTCTGAAATTCTTCAGCTAAATTTGCCTAATTTCTTTACGTTCCAATATAATGCTTTCAACTACTCTCATAGTCTTAATCAAATCGAGGTCATTTTTTTTGAAATATTTTGCTTTAGTTTTGCAGTGAAAAAGTTTCAAATGATTTTTATGGGAAATTTTAAAGGTAGATAAATATAACACCAAGAAAAATTTGATATAGAAATAATTCATAGCATAGCGCATTTATTTCTGCTGTGAGTATGATAAAAAAATGTAAACACCTGCCCCCCTCCCCCCCCCCTCTGCGTACGCACCTGATCTGTTAAGGAGGTTTTACTAACACAAAATATTGACTTATTTTCATATTTACAAGTGCTTGCGCAAATAGAAATTTATAGTAGTCACCTTTCATAGAAATCTACTTCCAAATAGTAACTTCTTAACCGATAAATAGTTAAAAAGAAATGGACACACTGATTCTGTTAAATTCAGGGAAGTGACAACATTCAGGCGGTGTATTTTTTAACATAATCATCACAGACTCACAAAAAATCTTGGGCTTCTCGATAAATATTATGGCCCCACAATAATTAAAAGTCTCTTGTGGCTCCTGAATCTCCAAAAGTTTGCCTTGCACCCTCCTCCCGGGGTACGTTACGCCTGTTCAAAAACTTTGTAGATGACCATTGATTCAAAATGGAAATAAAATTAGACCACTTGTTAAATTAAAAGAGGATCAGCGTAATATTTACCGAATGAAGAAGTGAGGAAAGAGTTAACAACCCATTGGCCTAAGTGCAACAATAATAGGATCTGGCAAAATGTCAGAGTGCAAATAAACCTCTAAGGTAAATTGCTAGAAATGTTTCGTTTACTTATGTTTAACAACATAAAATAATTGTTTTATTGATTTTAATAGTATATTATATAGCATTCGAAAAAATGAAATTTATATCCCTAAATTGCATAATATGTATTTTACACAATCCGATCAGCTTCTAAGAAACCTAGCAATTTTTTTTTAAAAAATAGTGAGTCCTGAGATTCTTATTATCTGAAAGAAGGATAAGTAGTTAATTAAAAAAAAATTATTGTGTAATAAAGCTTAAATTTTCGTTCTTTAAGTAAAATCCTTATATTATGCTCTGTTTTTACTTATAAATTTTTTTAAATATTATTTTTATAAAATAACTAACGTTTTGAGCAGATTAGAATATTTTACTAATAAAATGAGTGAAATGTAATCGATATTTTATAATTGCAAAACAACTATTTTTTTATAACTACTGGAGGTCACTTTTTGGTTAGGTCTGCCCGGAGAAAATTGTAATTATTTTTTGTTTTGAATTAAATTGGTAAATTTTTAAGGTGGTTGAGTTTGGACTTTGGAGATGGAGATATTTATGTCTCAATTATAAATTTGGCAATTTAGTTCATTTTAAATTATTTCATATAACATGCTAAAAATAAAGTTGGAATGAATCGTTAATAAATTTTTACATAAAATTAATAAATTAGGAAAGCCTGTAAAATTTTAATAGATAGGGCAAAACATTGTCATCGACAGAAGCTATAATGTGATATTTATTTATAATATTTTCATAAAAGAAATATACAATTCTCTGATTTTTTTTTCCGGTCATGGGATACTTTATTTGAATATTTACTGATATGATATGATGTCAAAATATATTAGCAAATAATTAATTTTTTAAAAAGGTAAAATAAATAAAGGTGAAAAATTGTAGAAATATAATTTACGGGAAAGGATAGGGGATAAAAAAAATGAAGCTTGGAAAATGGAAGGTTATTCAATGGAAGAGATGAAGCTTAGATAGTTGGAACGAATGATGGCGGTAGCAAGTCTTTGGCGTAAGAAGAGGGATTCCTTTGGCTGGTCGGTTTTTTCACGGATCCGTTTGCCTAAATCTTTGAAAAAACGTTGAGCCTTGCTACCGAAGTTGGTGAGAATGGTGCAGGCGATGGGTATGAATAAGAAAATTCTTCAATGGTTGAAGGACATAAGTGGTAAATTCACATAACATAATATAACCTATTTCGGGCATTTAGTATATATTTCGGAAATCAGTATCTTTTACAATCTTATTTGTGTTTGTTTGTGGGGGCAAAAATTCACAAAAAAAATATACTCTCTGACATGCTGATTTTACTTTTCATAGCTGCAAGCTCACTAATTTTTAGAATCTGTTATTCATGTGAATGCTTTTCTTTTAAGTGTTTAATCCACTTAGCTATATGTTTATTGCGAGCACTCAATATTTTTTTTAATGTAAAAAAGAACCCTCCCCCCTTCCCCCTTTCCTTGGTAAGTAAGAGTCATTGCTATTGTTATTGAATTTGAAATTATTAATATTGTTGATGGATTGTGAGAACATTACTATTTCATTTAAAACAAAATGTTTAACTAAGTCTCACACAACATAGAAACTAAGGATAGATTAATTATGTAATTATTTAATTAACTATGTCACATGTAACTATAAATGTTATGATTACAAATACGCAATTTCTTGACATGTTTTATTATAATTTTTTGAAATATGTTTATTTTGAAATTGCAAGATCTTTGAGTTAAAGCTTAAATGTGTTAATAGCAGGATGAATCTTATAAAGTATATATTTAATGAATTATCAACTAATAATTATTTTTAAGGGACCAACGTTTTGAATCAGAATTTAATCCTAACGCTATAAATCTTTATGTTAATTCACCTTATAACTCAATATTTTTGAATGCACCTGGACTAGAAAGCAAACAAGCATCTATTGATTTTCGCGCTAGTCCATACAATCTCGCCGTTAATTACAATCAAAAGGTTCCTGTTCTTAACCAGCCTTATAATGATTCTTATGATTTCAGACCCTCTTATTACAATTTATTACCAATTCCTGATAAAGTCCTTAACAATGATATCTGGCAGCCCCCTGTATCATCAAATTTATATGAAAATGAAAACAGTTTCACTCTTTTAAAAAATAGCGACTATACATTTAATTATCTAAATGTGAAAGAGTTAGGAGTGGATAATAAAAATAAATTCGATTTTAAACAAGATAACGTCGGCTCGATGAACACTAATTACAGGGATGACCATCATTTTATCGA